AATCGGCCCTGCTCTTTGTGTGACGGTGCGGCGCCTACCCCGCACCCATGGGCCCTGCTCTTTGTGTGACAGAATAGAGCCATAACCTCCCCATCATGGGCCCTGCTCTGTGCGTGATACGGGGCAGCGCCCCAACCCCCTGATCGGCCCTGCTCTGTGCGTGACGGGGTGGCGCTGCAACCTCCCTATCGACCCTGCCTTGAGTGTGACAGGGGGCGGTGCCCCAAATCCCCAATTGGCCCTGCTCTGAACCTGATCAGGGCCTGCACCTAGGGATTAGGCCTGCCCTCTGCCACCTGGGAGCAGGCCTAAGCCAGCAGGTCGTTATCTCCCTAAGAAACCAGAAACACCCATCAGAAAGAATGTATGCACCCCTATGTTCATAGCAGCACCATTTACAATAGCTGAGATCTGGAAACAGCTCAAGTGCCTAACAGTAGATTAGTGGATAAAAAAGCTGTGGTACATTTACACAATAGAATACTATGCAACTGTAAAAAAGAAGGATCTCTTACCCTTTGAGACAGCATGGAGGGACCTGGAGAGTATTACGCTAAGTGAAATAAGTCAGTCAGAGGAAGATAAGTATTACATGATCTCACTCATGTGGAATCTAATGAACAAAATAAACTGTATACATATTTTTTAAAATAACATAAAGCAGCCCTGGCTGGTGTGGCTCGGTTGGAAGTTCGTTCCATACACCAAAAAGCTGTGAGTCCAATTCCTGGTCAGGGCACATACCTAGGTTACAGGTTCGATCCCTGATTAGGGCGCATATGGGAGGCAACCAATTGATATTTCTCACATTGATGTTTCCCTCTCCCTCTCTAAAAAAAATCAATAAACATTTTAGTAATAAAGCATTAACATATAAATTAAGAATTTACAATAAAGTAGCATGTGATATATATATATATATATATATATATATATATACACTATACTAGTAAATCCAACAAAAAGTCCCTACATATTTCTAAAATTCCCCCTCAAGTCTGTACCATCTAGGATATACATAACAAAAATAAAATAAATGAACTCAATAAAAAGCAGTTAATATAGATTTTTGTAATTCACCAAGGAAAGGTGAAGTAGTGAGCAGGAGATGGCTCTAAGTGGCTATGGAAAAACATTTGCTCACTAGTAACCAGAGAAATGCAATTAAAACAAGATACCAATTTATGTGGATCAAATTGGCAAATAATATAAATCTATTAATACCAAATGTTCAAGTGGACATAGAAAGATGAGATCCCACATGCACTGCTGGTTACCAAACAATCTGGCCTTTAGTGAAATTAAGTCTATGTTCACTCTGTGACTCAGAAATCTTACTCTGGGATATATGCCCCCAGAGAAACAAGCACAAATCTGCATGAGGGCATGTACAAAGATGTTCGTCCCAGTATTGATTATTATAAATGTATATTGCAAATTTAAGGGCAACCACTACAAAACTTAATAAATTTAGTTTACTTGCAAAGGCTTCCCATAACTATCAAGTATGAACCCTTTCTATGGTCTCAAGCTCTGCAACTGCCCCTGACTTCCCAACCTCATTTCCTGTCCTCCTTGCTCAAGCCACCATGACTATCTTGTTTTTTCTGGACTCACCGCCCTCCCCCCACCACACACACACAAGCTAAAGATGTTTGCCCTTGCCATTCGCTTGGCCTTTAATGTTGTGACCATGGGTCTTCCATAAGACTCACTCTCCATGTAATCTGGCTCTGCTCAGTTGCCTTTATTAAAGAGACTATCACAAACGAAAGCAGCAGTCGGAATATTCAGATAACTCCAAAATAGTTCCTTTCAATGTTCTTTTGTTTTTGTTTTCTTAGTATTTTTCCAGCTTAAGTTCTCCCAAGAACTCTGCTGAATTTTGTGGTTCATTTGATGGATATCCTGCCTTATTTAGAATTGTAACTGGATAAGAAAATTGCCTTTTCATTCATTATAAATGCCCGATTTTGGTCTCTAGTTTAAAGGTACCTACATACTGCCGAGCGAATAGAACACACCTTCCCCCCAAGTTTTGTGTTACGGGAAAAACCATTCAGTACTGGTTTCACAGTAGGGCTCAACCGGAATTGGTCCCGCACCAATGTGAGTGTTTAGTGTTTGGCAAGTTTTGGGGTGTGATTATTCACTACAGAAATGCTCAATGTATTACCTTGCTGCCGATTCTATTTCTGACAATTTGACATAAATAAGAGCCTATCACAAACTAATCCCATCCTCTTGTGATCAATCACTCCCTCCTCTTACTCTATTTTATTCTTCATAGAACTTTATCATCCCCTAACAGTATAAATATAAATATATATAAGCTTTATTAAAGAATTTTAAAGATCAAAATAAGTAGAGCAAAACACTTTTGTCAATTCTCTCCAAATTAGACATTGACTATTCAATATTCCCAATAAAAACTCTAGCAAAATTTTATTGGGGAATGTGGAAAACCAATTCTAAAAAAAATATATTGCAGATCAACAACTCACAATTAACTGAGACAATTTGGGGGGGGGAGGGGAGGAGCGGAGAACACAAACTATTATATTAAGACATTTAC